CATACAGAACTTGCTATAAAAAACGTATCCATTGGAAGTATATGTCTGAAACTTCTAATTTTGGGGTGAAGAATTCAACAAAACAGTTCTTTCCTTTGCTATAGATATATTTAACTTAAGAGAATTTTATGAAATTATGCAATTTTTGACTCACCAAAAAAGGACAGTAATAACTACAAAACTGAGAAATTGGTTTCATGAAATAAATCACTGGCCAATCCTTCAAAGATATGCTTGTTGTAAATCTAAAGTCATTTATCTACAAACTAAGAAAACTGAAAGGAATAAAAATATATTTATTGGAATTGATGAAAAAGACTTTCTGGATAGTCTGAGTGGCTCTTCTGCCCTTCCTCTCCAAATGGCGATTTGCAGTCTGAATTTCTAGGTCTCTACTCTAGTGAATGAACTAATCTCTAATCTCCTGAAAGTTGTGTTATATCAAAGTCCCACCAAAAGACAAATGTTGACTCCACTTGTACAATATCATCCACCAAAGGCCATCAAAAATAATCATTTCTACCTTTGGCTGGAGCTAAAAACTTGATTACAGCATTGGACAGAAATAGTGTTACAGTGTATTGGCTTTGGCACTTGTAACTGAATGTCATCTGAGATGATGATTCTTCACTACAACTGCTGGAGTTGTTTGAATACTCAGATTTACTGTGTCTTTTCTTCCTTTTGTTGTTGCTTTAGAAGTGGAGATGAAGTTCCATTAAAAGTTATATCACTCTAATATCTATTCCTTTCATAACAATTTTTAACTGCATCAGCAACTTTTTAATATATTGCAAGGGATTTGGGGTCTTACTTCAGCCTATTTTCCTCACTTACAATAAATCAAACTCTGAAAGCTTGGAGTTCATCATCTACAGAAGATTAAATGTGAATTTTATTAAAGACTCAGATAGGGGTCTGTAGTGTGGAAAGCACAAATACATAAAAAAGATGAAAAAAAAAAAAAAAAAAAAAAAAAACCAGATACCCACTTAAAAAAATGTTATGCTTATTATATAACAGTTTAAGAAAAACATTTACTAAAAAAAAAAAAAAAAAAAAATGTAATTTCATTTTAACCTACAAAATAGGACCTAATTCTTATGAAAATTAGAAATATTAGATATATTGCCAGCCACATATATAAATTAAATTTGTGACCATTATTTAAAAGGAAAAATGGATACTTTTTTTTCTTAAAATATTTTAATTTTTTTATGGAAAAATATTAGCATGCTAAACTTAAAGAACTAAAAATATATTCAGTCTATTTTTTATTTTAGTTTAATGTTTTTCTAAGAAAATATCTGAAAAGAACAGCTAAGGTGAAAGTTATGACAGTTTGGATAAAATACAATGAATAAGTACTCTACATAGTTTTAAAATGCATCATTAATGAAAATATAAGAAAAATATTTAAACCGTGAACTATCAATCGTTGAAATAAGTCTGATTTAAAATGGGGTTCAGCTAGTGAGGTTTATTGATTTGGTAAGCAATAAAAATTCCAATGCATTGGACGTAACAGTATTGCATGAAATGGATGATGTATATCCTCTTTTTGATTCACATGCACTTTGAATTAGATGGGCGAAGTGATATGAAACCAACTGATTATTAAAGACAAAACATTGATATACAAGAAGGTGTAATTTACAATTTTTTAAGAGTTGAATTTCACTGGTATTGTACCTACTAAATTTTTCAACATGTATATCTTTTTGCGACAGAAAAAACCCTATCTTAAGTCCACCAAATTGATGAGTGTCTTTTATTCTTTACAATGGGACTATTTTGATATGTAAAAACACATCACTCCAAGCATAACAAGTTTTAAAAACATTGCTATGTAATTCTCATCTTTGAGAATGTGAAAAAGAAGCACCCATCATTGAAATAGCAACATAATTTAAATTGATGTGGAATAAAACCTATTCATCACATACAAAAAAGAATTGTATCTTTATAAAAAAAGAAAAGATGAAATTTTGTTTACATAGAAATAAGTAAGGTTTCACCAGGAAATTTCACTATTTTGACCTGTTTTTGCTGTGTAAACTAGAGAGGTTTGGGATACCTAGGAGAGATAGCAAATAGACAAAACTTACTATGAGCAACAAAGAACAGGAAGTTGTCAAAGCCATGAATCAATAGCATCCTGAAGAAACATGGTACATTTTTTTTAATCAATTCACCCCCAGCAAGATGATAATGCTATAAGATGCAAGGGACTACTGAAAGTGAAAGAGAATGAATAAAACTTTAGAAGGAATTGGAAATTGAATCTTAATCAGAGAACAAGGGATAAACTTCTGCTCCTGTTCAAAAGACTGGGGAGGAGTGTGAACCTATCTACTCCTATTGAGGAAAAATAAATAAGTAAATAGTAAATAAAATTTCAGAGTTTAGACAAGATGTTAGAAGTATACAGTTAAAGTAGATTTTAGACGGAACTGGAAAACCAATCCAAAACACGAAACAAGGGTTAAACCTTTACTCTTGTTCAAAAGACTGGAGAGAAGTGTGAACTGGACGAAATAAGAAGATGCATTCAGGTATACAGGATTTGGGTACTCAGATCAATTCTGGTGACACAGTTGAAATTATCCAGCTTCTATTCATAATGTCAATCCAATTAGGCAAAACCATAGCTGGAGCAGGTAAAGTTGGGGGGGGATTTACATTTAATTGTGAGGTTTAAGATATTTTATTGAGTCATCCTCTGGTTGAAACCTTTTGGCGGCCCTCGGCCTATTCCTGGCTGATTTCATTTATTGTAACTAATTATTATTTGTAATTAGATTTTATTTTGTATTTTTTTCATCACTTCCCATTCAGATTAAACTGATGACTATTCCTTTAGTTTTCTCCTTGTCACACATCCCAAAATAAGACCTTAATTTACTGGCTGTCTCAAACATCTTTGGTAGGGGATTGCATGTCTCAACAGGTGGAGGGTCACCCTAACCCTATTACATTAGCTAAATTAACAGAATCCAATTCAATTAATTACATGAACACAAATAATCACATGTATTCATTGTAAAAAAAAAAAAAAATTGTTTAAAAATACTTATGTTGTGTCAGTGATTAATTAAACAATATAAGTCTTTTATTCATTGTTTCCACATTGGCACCTTTTCAGTAGCATGAAGTTCACATGTGTGGTAGGAAAGGTTGTCCTTTAACAGGAAATTGATTATTTCTGAGCCAAAATATGCTGCAACTGGAGCTACAGCTACTTTTTACCTGTCTGAAGCCTTTACTTCTAAGACTACTCAGGTTGAAGACTGATATTGAACATTTTCAAACTTAGTGGAATGAAATAACACCTGCCTTTGAGAAAGCTAGCAAACATACCTACCTTTGCCCAATTTGCAGGTTTGTCAGGGGAAAAGAAAGAGAGAAGCATTCTTTGCTTCATATTTTTAGATGCAAATGGAAAACAGTTTTAAACGGTTCATTGACCTTTATAAAGGTCAGTGAATCAAAAATTGTATTAAAGTGTTTAACATTTTCTACAGTATACAAAAGGTCACAATGTCAAAAACTAAGAACAGAAATTATTATATGAGCCCTTGTATCCTTTATGTAGTAATTCAAAAAGTGAGTTTTAAAACTTATAAGAACATTTAAATCTTGATGATGACTGAAAAATTGATTATTAAGACTGGTATTCCTGGTACTTTTCTGATAGAACAATTTTTTTAAAATCATTTCACTCCAAGCAAGGCAATAAATCCACTAAGACATATTCTCTCATGGAAAAGATATGAATCCCTCTCTTCTTCATTAAAAGAGGTTAATTAGCAGAGTAGCCTGTGCTTTCTGCTGTTACATGGCAACCAGTCAAAGAGAAGTGAAACTCTAAATTCAAAACAGTGTAGAAAATAATGGGAAACCATTCTACCATCTTTTCCAATAATGTATAGCAGTTCATAAATAATAAGAGGAGCGTGTGGAGAGACATGATCACATACATCCTGTAAGATCATGGCTTTAAAAAAAATAATTTTCTCATTTTGAAAACCATAAAAATAACAAATCTGAAAAAATTGTTTTAATTGGCAAAATAGCACACACCTCAATTAAACATTTTTATTTGGAGCGAAATACTTATAATTCAACTGGCTTAAAATACTAAGTTGTTCTTGGGAGATAGTTAATTTTAAAAGTTTAAATGGCTAGATGTAACCATAAGTTCTAGGTTAGCAGTTTTTTCTCTTGTACTTTTATTGCTATCTCTCTTTAATAAGGTTTTCTTTTTTCTCATCTTCTCTAACATTAGGTGACTCCTTGCATCTTAGTGGTTTTATTGCGTTGCTTGGGGTGAAATGATTTTGAAGAAAAAAAAAGAAAAAAGAAGCTTAGCTAGTTGGTATGGAATTCTTTTCCTCTCTTAATACATCTGATAGAATAGAATGGCTAGGGTGGCATAAGATTAAAAAATAAAATGGCCAGTGTTTCAAAATAGCTCATGATAAACTGAGGACATTTTCAGTTAAAAAATAGTACACATCATGAGCAAGTTTGAAACTGATCAGACCAGTTGCAATGAAGGAGGATATACTGAACTGATAAATATAGTAAGGAAAACTTAGCTCTTTTTCTTGAAGAAAACAGAGAATGAAAAAAGATAATTACTATGCTGCAAAATTCACAAACCAATACCAGGCTATTGTCCTGTTGGATTCAATAAGGTTTTTTTTTTTTTTTTGATCGATTGATATTTTCTATGGCATATCAACTCTTTGCTGATTATTTAAAGACAGAAAATATTTCTTTAGATTGTAAGAATTTTTTTTAGATAATAAAGAGTTAGTGATACAAGTCTTTCTAATTAACCCATAGCTGGGTGGTAGGGTGAAGAAGAGGTGGATTCATACCTTTCCAAGGGTATTTGCATGTAAGTGAATGTAACTGATCCAACTGGAATTGGAACTCTGCTTTTTGATCAACAATTTGGAGTCATTATCCATTAAGCCACCCACATATCAAAGCTTACAGCATGTGGTATTCCCAAATGGTCAACCATCTAGGTACTGACCAGGCTCAATGTTGTTTATCTTCGGTGACTGTACAGGAAGTGGTGCTTCAATGTGATATGGTCATAAGCTAATTTAGTAACGATTAAAGAGACAAATGGATCAGCCTAGTGGATTAAAGTGATGGTTCATGAATTTGGGGACATAGTAATTGTGAGTTCAATTCTTGGGCAGGGTTGTGCAGGCTTAGACTCAGTAGAAACTAAAAAGAATAACCAATCAACACTAAAATAAGGACTAGATTAAATTCCCTGAAGGTAACCTGAATTGACAAACACCTGAAGTAAAACAGAGGGCACAACAGCAAAAATCTAACAAAATCAACAAGAAAGAGGATAGTAGTTCAAATGTAAATAATGATAATTGCTCATTGCAGAAATTCAAACAGAAAAAAGATAGCAAATTTTGATTGACTTTTTTTTTGTAATGCTCAATTATTGCATGCTCGGTTTCCAATAAAAAGACTAAAACAAAAACTAAATGAGATAACCCATAGTCAGTGAAACAAGAACAATATACCCTTGTAGATTAAATAAAGGGTTCAGTTCAAAATTCATAGAAGATTACCTTGAATGATAAGCATCTGATAAAAGCCAGAGGGTAGAATGGTCGAAATGTTGTGATAATAACAAAAATGAGGACAATAGTTTAATTGTAAATTACGTAAATAAAACGGGTTATTAGAACACCGTTTTGATAATAGTTAAGGATTGCTTAAATAGAACAATATATTCAGGACAGAAAGAAGTGGAAACATTATATGCCCAGGATGTCACATTCAATGTAGATATTAAGACATAAGAATGGCTTCTGTTAAAATAATGACTGAAGTAAAAAGAAAAGTTACTTAATTAAAAAATAAACACATGTTTAAAGAAGGGAATGTAGAGAACTTTTCAGCACCCCCTCCTAATAATAAAAAAGGAATTTTTTTTTCTTTATAACTTCAAGATTATATTGCAGTCAGTATTCTAAAAATAGTGAACAACCATTTGTTTTGGTTGGAAAGATTTGTCTTTACCATTTAAACATAGAATATTTGGCAATGTTTAACCTTTGTACCCACCAAAACCAGGGTATCAAAAGGATGGTTATTCCCTTAATACTGCTATTACTGTATACTTTTCTGTCTCCCTCAGCAATGTTCATTTACAAAAGTATAAAAATATGAGAACCAAGTACAATGCAATATTTATTATTTACCTTTTATAAAGATTTACCATTTTATAAATTTGAAAATAAATATTTTGATTCAAAACTTCATAAGTCATTTTATTAAAAAAAAAAAAAAAATATTAATGTACTACACATGCTTAAAGAAGGGTATCTTTTAGTACTGTTCAGTTATTGCTAGCCTTGTTACCACTCAATCTGTATTACCTGGCCAAGGAATTGAACTCGTAATTACTTCACAAACCTACTTTAATCCATTAGGCTATTGTCCCATGGAACAATGGTAATCATGTTGACAGATTCAAGTTTTGTTAATTTTGAATAGGTTTTTTATTCAATCTTCAAAATCCAACACTACCTTCTGAATAACCTATTATAATTATTATATTTGTATTCTATTCCTAAACTGCAAAGGGAGACTAAAATTTCCTGGTAACAGCTAATTACTAATCAACTGAACCATAATAGTTAAACTTTATCACCTAATTATTAAATTACACTGGATCAGAGATTTAAAATGATAATCATTCAGTCTAATGATCAAATGATAGTTTCAACAGACACAGGTATGAACATGCAATGAAGGGATTGGTACATTTTTTTATCAGAGTTAAATGTTCAGGTGTTTGTTTTCATTTTTAATGGCACACAAGGTTGCAGGAAACATTCCAAAGTCATTTGGTCAAAACAGAAACTTGTTAGAATGTCAATCTTAAATAATGATAATAATAATGATAATAAAAACAATAGTGTGTTTCACTCCAGATCCTGCCAGCCAGAATATACTTTGCACTCAATGTCACACCAGATCATCAAAGGAATCAGGTTTGATCTGAGGGAACTTCCCAGTCACTCACATGACAAAACAAGCTGCCCCTAGGTTACAAGCATAGTAAAAAAAAATGTGCGGCACACAATTATACAGGGTGCAATAGGTAAATTGATGTGTAAATTAAATAATGGAAATTAATACTGATATGTCATTTTAACAGATATATTTACCAAAATTCACAAAAATATCTTGAAATACTAAAAGATACTAATTCAATAAAATTGCCACTGGCTTCAACCATGACCTCCAGACAATTTTGGAATCTTCTGCAACTTTTCTGGATGGTTTCCTTGTTTAGATTGGTGAATACTGCTTTAATCCTTGCCTTCAGTTCATCTTTAGTTTTACAAGGAGTTTTGTTGGCTGCTCGCACAACTAAGCCTCACGCATAATAATCAAGGGGGTTACAGTCCGGCGAGTTGTAAAGGGTGATGTGGTTGCAGAAATTGTCTGATAGCCATGACTGGGTTCTCATGCTTGTGTGGCATGGTGCAGAGTCCTATTGCTAAACATAGGGTCTTTCAGAAGCCACCCCCTTGACCCAGAGCAGCACTACCTCCTCAAGGCACTTGATGTAGGCCTCCGTGTTGAGTCTGAGGACCTCACCAACAAATTTGGGAGTTCTTTTCTTATCAGAATGATCAGAGTGTGTTTTCTGAGGCGCTGTATCTTTGTAATCACCATTAGACTCATCCAATTCTTTCCAAATCCTTTGCATTGTCCTCAGATTGACATCCAAATACTCTGAAAGACTTGATGCAAATGCCAAGCAGTCCAGCATGCTGTTTCCAAATTTCTGGTGAAATGAATTGTGTCATGGTGCTCACAGATGGTTCCCAACTGACCCTACTATACTGTGCAGTCAACAAAATCAAAAGCAAGTAATATGCATGTGCAAAATTAAAAATATAACGTGGCACCAATTTACCCATTGCACCCTGTATAAACACTCACTCAAGTAAGGAGAGGGGCTGTCTCTCAGACACTGCAGGCGAGAATGTAAGACCCACATTTCAGACAAGTGGCCCAAGTCCATACAAACATACACAAGCTAGCCAATTGCCAATGTCTAGAGTTGAACAAAAATGTAATGTCAATTATGAGATTTAAAATGCACCTTACATTAAAGAAAAATTAAAAATGATTTGTTTTTTATGGCTTATCAACCTTTTACAGGTTATTTAAAGCCAGAAGATATTTTAGAGTATTTACTTATACAAGTTCAATTAATGAACCTATAGATAGAGGAAGAAGAGGTTGATTCATACCTTTCCCAAGGATATTTGCATCTAAGTGAATATAACGAACTCAAATAGAATTGGAACAGTTTTCCGATTACCAATTCCAAGGTGTTATCCATTACACCACTTACACATGCAAGCTTACAGCATTTGGTATTCCCAAGCGGTCATCCATCTAGGTACTAACCAGACTCGACATTGTTTAACTATGGTGATTGTATGGGAATGGGTGTTTCAATGTGATATGGTTGTAAGTCCCCGCCCTTAAAAATGGTTCAAATTAAATTGTATGTATATAAAATGTAATTTTTTTTTAAAAGGATTTTTATCCAACATTATTTCTTCTTACTATAAGTGTTATTTTTAGTGGGTTGCTATCCTTGATTTTTTTTTTTTTTTTTTTTTTAAATCAGTGAAATTATCAACAACTGGCTTGGAAAAGAGGGAATGCAGGTTCGATTCCTGACAGAGGCACAATTTTTCTTTACTAGGACTTCTCGATTTAGGCCAGTTGTTATTAATTTTATTGTTTAATAAAAGAACAGGGATAGAAACTGAAATGTGTACCCACTAACTTTTTAATAAGAAACGTTAAAATATAGAATACTTGATAAAAGAAGCCAATATTTTTATGTAGTTTTTAAGATATACCATCACAGGCAGGCACAAGGACACACAAAGCAGTTAACTGCTGATGTATTGATGATTGTTGCTGAAAGAATCCATCAACTTTTAGATAAGAATGGTGAAGCTCAGGCTGTTGATTTGGATATCTTGAAGCCATTTGACATGGTTTTGGTACTGGTCTTCTGAAGTTGAAAGTCTATGCTATTTCTGGTTGAATTTTTGAACTGATTCAGTCTTTCTTATCAAATAGCAAAATGAAAGTTGTCTTGAATAGCCACTCTTGATCTTTTTGCATTAATGCTGGTGTCATGAAGTGGAAAGATTATACTGAATCAATTGCTAGGTCGACTGCTAGGAAAGCTGGTTCACTGTGTTGTGCTAGACAATTTTTCTCGCCCAAAAATACCTTACATATTTATAAGTCTACTTTTTGTCTATGCTCTGAATATTGCTGCTACATATAGTCTGGTGCTCCTGCAATATATTTAGACATGCTTGATAAAATCCAAAGAAGAATCTGAAATGTCATTGGTCCTCACCTGGCATCATGATTTCAGTCACTTCCCTGTGCTGTTTCTATAAATACTTTCATGGTAATTGTTCTGATGAACTTTCTTCTATGGTACCTAGACTTTATGAATTAAGCACAGTACTAGACTGGCAGCTAGGTCTCATCATTTTACAGTTGAGATGGCTAAATGTAACCGTAAGTTCTATGCTAATAATTTTTCTATCACACTACTCATTTGTGATACTGTCTTCCAGATTTTTTCTTTCCAGTCAACTTTGATATTCAAAAATTTAAATGCAATGTCAATTATTATCTTCTGTTTTTTTTTTTTTTTTAATTCCTGTGCTTTTGTTATTCTCACTCCTTAGTAATGCATTTCTTTTTCTTACATTCTTTCACACTTAGTGGCTTTATTACCTTGCTTGGGAAGAAATGATTGATATATATATATATATATATATGTGTATGAATGAATAAAGACAAAAAGAAAACTTAACTTAGATAATGTGTTTTGTCCTCTAAGACATTTGCTTTGATAAAAGTCCCTCAGAGGATGAAATACATTGGCAAAGATAAGTTTTGCTTTATTTATATTGTCCGTATATATATATATATATATATTAGGATGCATTTGAGCATTTAGTTCCTACTTTACAGGTGAACTGATAATGCAGTAGTAATGGAACCTTCAATCAACAATAAACTATGAAATCAGTCAAAAGCTCAGATTACCACAATGTCTACAAGACAAAAGAGCTAAGACTCTGGAGTTTAATCTTGGCTGACATGAATCTTAGTGAGAGAAACTTCCTTTGTCAGTGAAGCCAAGCTAAAGTGAGCTGATTTCTATTGCTGTCATCTGTCAATAGAAATGCTATTTTCCAAAGAGTTGCCTGGTTTTATGAATACAGACAGACTTGACATTCATCAGTCACAGCAGCAATCAGCTGAACAAAAAAAGAAGGAAAAAAAAAAAAAAGAAGGCATCTTTAGAGTCAATCTGAATAAATAGTAAGAGGGCAGTACTGGTCAATAAGACTTAATGAACTGAACGATTGGAATAGTGACCTATGTAAGAGAGTGTGGGAAGCATATTTGAAATGTTAGACATACTATAAATGTCTATACCTTGTAGGTATCCAAGTTTTCAAATGTTTTTTTTTTTACAGTAATGTTCACCCTATACAAAACCCAAGAGCTACTTGAGGTAGAAGGTTACAGAGTAAGAGGCAAGAGGTACACTTTATAATGATATGTGGGTAAGATGATGGTTAACCCTAGAATTGAATAGGTTAAAACTGTAGTGATCAGGGAAGCATCCTCTTGGGAGTCAGTTCCACAAAGTAGTGGTTAGTGGGAAGAAGCTGCTTGTGTGGAACTTCCAACAATGGAATACAAGGAGAATGTGATAATAATGCATTTAAAGTGATATCTCTTAAAAAAGAAGAAAAAAAAATTTAAATTAAGTATTATTAGGTTATTTGGAAAATAATGCTTAATTTTAGAATCAAGTTTTATTCTCAAATGAATATATTTAGAGAGTGTTTAAATCAGTCAAAACAGGAATCTATACATTTCTGCCATTGAGTTACAAGGTTATTTATGCCTTTATGATGGACACCAAGAAAACTTTAAATGCAGTTTCTGCATCTTCTTTATAACAAAATATCTTTTAGCTTAAAAAATTGTCAAAATATTTGAAAAACTAGTAGTCAGTGGGTGATACATCAGGGGACTATGGTGGATGTGGCAAAGTTTTGTATCCAAAGTTGGTGAGCATCTGCAGTATCATCCTGGCAACATGTGGCCAAGCATTGCCATAAAGGAAAATTGAACCTCATCGATTAATTGGTGCCGGTTGCATTTCGCTTAACCGAATGTGTATTTCATTTAACTGCTGGCAGTAAACTTCAGCAGTGATGGTCTGATTAGATGGGTAACTTTAATGGTGGACCACCAGACAGTCCCCATAATCTTCTGTTGGTGCAATTTCAATTTTGGAAAGTGTTTAGGTGCTTCATCATGATCATGCCAGTAATTTACAATTGTCATAAAGGATCCATTTCTCATCAGATTCCACATTTCATACTGATAACTGCTACACTATTTGCACATGATACAAAGAGTAAAAAAAAATATCATATCTTTCCTTCAAGACTTTACCATCAAAGAAAAGAAAAAATATAGGAAAGTTAATTTTATTTTTGTATATCTTTACTTATGTAAAGTGAGCAGTGATGTGTTCAGAAAACCTTTTTTTTTAAGTTGATTGAAAGAATGTAGGAAGATTTGCTTTATAAACTATTTTTTGATGAAGAATTTAGCTAAGCCAAAAAACAAACAAATAAAGGTTTCATCTGAAAACAAGATCATTTGGTTATTGCAAAAGCAGACCAGCACATTTTTTTTTCTGGTTTTAAAATAAATTTAGATATATTATGGTAACTCAGCACTACACTTATAGAAATAAAATCTTTTTTTATTTGCATCTGTTTTGTTCTAAATATTAATAATTTAATCTTTAGCCAAGTAAAAATGTTTGCAAAAATCAATAATTCCTTGCAATAAATTGAAATCATTCTTGTCAAATCCATTTAAAATTCAATTCATTCTTAGCCAATTTAATTTGAGAACTTTAATAGGGTTGCAAGTCCATTTTGAGGCACAAATTAATCTTTGGTCTCTTTGCTAATTTGTCCTTTCATGTCTATAATTCACATAATAGCAAAAATCCACATTGTTTTAAGTAGAGAAAAAGAAGCAAGAGTCTGTCAAATTGATACCTATTCAAGTATTGATTTACCGGTGCTAAATTAAAAATTAGGCAAACTAATTTTCACAGAAATAATGTTAATAATTTTATTAGATATAATCTTTTAATATGAATTATTCCAGACTGATTAGACCAGTCAAAGTGAACAATGAGGTTGGAGTAAGGGATACCAGCTTTGATGCTTATGACTGCTAGGGCAGTTATTTATTTATTTACCTCTGTATGATGGAAAATTTGACACAGGCTTAGCCCAATATGCCACTCCCCCAAGGCATATATTGGTATGTATGTAGAGGCAAAAGACTGCCAGCTTCTTTAACACTTCCATTTTAAGCTGTTTCAAGTATCAGGAAATGAGCCTGAACCTCCCTGCTTAAATGTAATGGGAGAAGTTCAGCTTGGGGAAGCTGAATATATTCTTTTGTTAATCTAAGCATGTGTGTCTGGAGATCTGGGAGTGAGGGCATTTAAAATATAGGAGTTGTCTGTCCAATCCTCACTTCCATCTCCCATCCTTGTTAGCTCATCATCATGGTATAATGGTGACAACAAATTTCATCAAGATGATGAAACATAAGTGGATTTATAGCTTTCTCAAACTTTTAAGGCTGGAAATGCACAAATTCACCTGCAAGTTTCACATGCTTACAGCCTGTGAGTGCCTGAATGTGTCTGCAATTAGGTAGCATTGTATTTCAATACACAGTGTTAACAACTAGAGCAAACTGGAAATCTATAAAGTTTGGGAAATCTACAATTTTTATAAAGTTATAGATTTCCTAAATCCTATCTTATAGTCAATGATACCAAGAGGACAAAAAAAAAAAAAAAAAAAGAAAAAAGGTGAACATAATTAGCCAGTTTCAGAATTTTAAAGCTGTTTTTTGTGTGCATAAGCATTTCAACAACCCATACCATGTTTCTTATTAGTCACAAATTTAATGAAAATAAACAAATTTTGATATGACCTGCTAAAAAAGAAAAAAAAGTGGTTAATTACAAATGCTTTTATATTAAGTAAATTTTACTCCATTTTACTCAAGTGCTTTTGAGAACTCTTCATTTAAATTTGTATTGGAAATGTGCTCTTTCCAAGATACTAGTTATTCTCAAAATAATCATCTTATAGGTATTTAACATCGTTAACCTTTGTTTGGTACAAGAGCATAATGTAAACAAGACTGTTCCTTTTGTAATATTTTGCCAGAAAATGAAAACCATAAAAATATATTCAGTTATTTTACACTCATATAAAAAAAGAGAGCTTAGAAACTTAAACTACATCAGTCATTCAATTGCAGAGGATGAGAGGATATATATATATATAGACTGGGGTATAA